TCTCCTTTAATGCTAAAACAATTTGATTCTGCTAAGTATTTTTATAGATACTGTTGACATGAAAACAGGATTTCAAACAGATAAAAAGAGATGTCATAAAATTACGAGAAAATAACATATTCTGTGTAAGACTTTTTGCTCTACAATATATCATAAATTTGCAATAACGATTTTTCAGGCTTCAAAGTTATGAGCCGGAAGAAACTTTGAGATCAAAAAAACCCATTTTTCCTACAGTAATTCAGCGCATTTTATAGTGGCGAAACCGTTTTCAGCTGCTTCTGAACATAAGGAGTGGATTTGAAATATCGGTGTTTTAATCATTAAAAATTTTTCACAAAAATTATATCTATACAACTGCCAAGCAAAAATAAACCATTTCAGTAAAGATTTAAAAGGAGAGCTAAGACTCTCCACAGCCTGTGCAGGTTCAGCTAAGTTATAAACGTCCAAAGATAAGGGAGACGAGTAGCAACGTAGCAACCTGGAAAACTTTGTGCATCTAGAGTGTGTAACCTGACAGGAAATTTGTTTTCAGACCTCCGTCTTCAGCACTCTGTTTGCTGGTCCACATTGCTAATCAGAAGAATATATATATAAACAAATGTGGTTCAATGGACCAAAATTAATTCAAAGAGGTTCTCTATTTTGGATGTAATACAAGGAGCAACTTTGTGAAATATGTTTTAATCTATTCTAGGGAAGCTGATGATTAGCAGTTGCTGTGTAAAAACGGACAAGCGGTAAACAGCAGCACTCATGCCTTTTTCCCTTCAATACTTCTCCTTAATAAGTTTGGAGGAAAAACCGAAAAAACCCATAGAATGAAAACTCCAAGCAGGCAAAAAATCTTGTAAAAGGTGCAAATAAACGCTTCTGAATATCAGAAAGGAAAGGTGTTCCACTGTATATTATGTCAAACTTCTGTTGTTATTACGGAAGGCAATACAAAAATGACTGCGTTTTCTCCTTACCAAAAATTACTCGACACTAAAGCAAACGACAAAAGATTACTCAAAAGTCAAACATTGTTTTCCAATACAGACCGTTTAGCTGATACCGCTACTGATACAGCAACGGAAGATGGGAGAGCTACAAAGTTTCACCTTTTGCATACAAACAATGTCCGTCTAATAAGTGCAAAACGCTCAAGAACATCAAGTGCTTCTAAACAAAACCTTGCTTTGACAATTAGAAAAAAAAAAACGTAACAAAGACTGATCCGACCGCTGCACAGCCCACCTACTCTGTGCCTGACTGGTTGTACGGAAACCCAGTGATGCCCTCCTGTTACATCTTCAAAGAAGACCCCTCCTTCTGTGGCTTGCAACAGCGTTGAAAAGCTGTACACTCACTCCTTTTCGGCTGCTTGCCTTTGTTTTCATATGAACATCAAAGTTAAAGAATCAAATGGTAGATTTACGACCTCTTGACTACAAAATCGTCAACAACATGGTTTGAGCTAATGTACGTCGCTAAGATGTCACCATTTCATATTCA